TGAGAAAAATATATATCTTTTATTAAAATATTTGAAGGCTATATAAGTTTACATGTTTTTGTATTTGATACCAAACAACAGCAATACTAGGAAAACATAGCCAATCGAAACAAGAATGTTGTCCTCGATAGCCGTTAAAATCGTACGGACAAGCGCGTTAGTCGAAGGAAGCAACAAATCGAAGAGCGGAACGCCAAGAAGCTTTCGCGCTCGAACGATCGCTCCTCATCAATTACACGGCTGCCTAATTAACCGCGTCGAACTATTTTACGATACAGGCTGCACCACGATAATTATTTATTGCACGCCACATCGATATCTTTGCCTCAGCAACGACTGGTCTTTTATCCGTGGCTTTTCACCCATAATAAATCACGTGCAAACGCGTAATAATCGCGAAATTAAAGATACATTTTAATGACGTCTAATGAATCCACCGTTATAACACAGCTTCAATTGCCACACTCTTTGATGTCAGCTGAAGAATAGCGAAAATGGATTTTTTATATAAAATAACGGAAATGCTATCCTATGCTCCTAGGAATATTTAGATAATTACGTTTATACAAATATTCTTTATTTTTATGTAAAACTTCTAAAACAAATGGATATTGAGATATTACATATAAGATTTTCTAATCTTACTAATTTTTATAAGCTACATTACTAGCTTTTATGCGTGTATAATCTGCTTTTCCTGTGATAATTAAAGTTTTGAATGTTTAATATTGAACATTAATATAGATACAACGATGTTTTCGTAATTAACTCCCGAATTAAAATCCTCAAGCTCATAAAAGTTCATTTAAATTTAAGCAAACGATAAACTTTATTATATTCTTTCATTACAGAAGCTTATCTTCCTATATTTTAAATCTCTTGTAACTTTCGAGACTATTAGAATATCCCGATTTAATTAAGAAAAAACTTGACTTCCAAAGACGGCTCAAAGACTGAAATCTAGTTAAATACTTTGTCGTAACGTTATTAGATAATATTATGTTCATCGAAATCTTAATTGTTAAAAGATGTCTTTTTCATACATACTTGAAACTCTTCAATTTGAATTACGAACTATACGATTACCATTGCAAACTCACGTACGATCGCGATAGATCGACAACCAAATTTTCGCAGATGGGGTCGGGTCGCATCACAACACCTATCGTTAATGCGTGACCATACGTGTCCTAAAGGAGCATTACTGTCAGTCTCTCTCTCTCTCTCTCTCTCTCGGTAGTTCGTTAATATTTCTTGCCGCAATCTCGCGTGGCGCGCCTTTTATCCGCGCGGGCCTCTCTTGGGGCCCAATCGATACCAGCACGCTCATCAGCGTCCGACGTTAACGAGTAACGTTCGGGCACCTAATGATGGACAAGTTTTCTCCTTGAGGTATGCCAGCCGGAATTGAATCGGGATGCAAATTACAGCGGCCCGGACCCGCGCGCTCGCGCCTCCCCACAAATAGGGCCGCCCGTCTTTAACATCGAACTCGCGATGTATCTACTAACGATCGCCACAATGAGTAATGGAATTTATCGTGCGAGCTCCGTCGCCGGGCGCCTTCGAAACTCTTCGAACTCTTTGTGAACTTTAGCGCCGGTTGTACTCCCCCGCCGAAGAGCACGCACACAACAAGAACGTAATCGAGAATCGACTACATTAATCTGGTTAACGAGATCATGAGTTTATTACTATAGAACATGTAACGCGAACATTTTCTATGTAGGAGTATGCGTGCAAACGTCACACGCCACGTTGTCTGGATATAATTTGCCGTCGTATTATATATGATCTATCGATAAACTTCCATTGCAAGAAGACCACTTAATCTTAATACACCTTTTGAGATTATTACAATTATTAATAATCTTTTCTCAGTTTTACGGTGCCTTTTTTTGTGAAAGAGATCTTTATAGTGTCAGAAAAGATAGGAAGATAGTCGGTGAAGAAAAAAGTAATTTATAAATTTTTCCAAAATGACAGGAACGTAATATATTCTGCTTTGTCTCTTTGTGAATATATACACACATACTTCACTTTAAATTTTTATATCTAATATAATCGGCGTTATATATCTTCCATGAATTGTAATTTTTATTTTTAATAATATAAATCTTTTTTTCTGCATAGGTATTGATTTTCCATCATTCCGCTAATTAAACATCAACTGAGATTCTGTGAATATTTTTGCATTTATTCTGTGAGTATTCTTGCGTTTTCTGCAAAAGAAACGCCACGGTAGCTCAGCGCAATTTTCCGACACGAAAGAATAGCTGAATGTGATTGAATGGCGTAGCAGAGCGTAAAGTAAGAGTCAAAGGATAGGCGAGGCTACCGTGAGAGGCGCCTGTAATTATTTGCCGAGGGGTGTCAACGAGACTAATGACGTCCGTAGATGGCGAGCGCTTTGACGGGTTGCGTTACTTGTCATGTTGATGCAACGATTCCGCGTCGTTCTCTCTTTCGCCTCACTCTCCTCTCTCCGGCTAATCATCCTCAATCATAATCACGCACGATCGTCGCGTCGATCAGACAGATTGCGCTTTATCGCCGGAATTAACGTGCGGCGTGCCTCGCAGCCGTGTCTGTCAAAGTCGCTCGTATTTCTTTTCCTTTGCATAGCCTCGAATACTTTTACCATCTTCGATGTGCATAAACACATTGTAAATAATATTTGTTTGTTCAGATTTTTATTTATTTTTATTACTGCGTTATTAAATGAGTGAAACTTTAACCATGAGAAATAATTAGCAAGAAATTTCATCAGGTTTTTGTGTTTACTTTTACAGTGATTGTTTAGAATGTTTAGCAGAATTAGAAAGTATATTATACGCTATAAAACTGGTCGGTGCGTGCATGCGTTTTATAACTTGTGTATATATAATGATATAATGCGTGAAAGTTGAAAATGATATATCTAACGTATTCACATATCGCGGCAATTATGTGAAGATGGGCTTCTTGTGAATAATATTATAATCCCGTCTTTACGAAGCTCCTTTTTTTGCGAGTGCGTGCTGGAAATCGAACAACGGTCTCGGGATTTCGGTTTTGAACATCCGGTTAAAGCGCAGAACCGGGGAATGGGTTTTTAATCAGGGTGTTCCGGACAATAGACTCCCCAGGGGGCACCAGCCACCCTTGTAGTACCTTTCTTCGCCCTTCGTATACGGAGGTGCCTATAAGGAACACCCCATCGTCCGCGAGGAGTTTCTCATCATCGCGTACAGCCTACATCGTTGATAGCAGTAATTTTCCTTTCGCACAATTTATCGCGTTAAAATCAATGCTGAAACGCTTTAAAAAGAGAACGCACCCTTTTCTGATTGTAATCATGAGAATATTTTTTGAATAAATGGAAGTTATATTGACATTCTTTAACAATATTCTTCTTCATGATTAAAATCTCTTTTCTGTTTTCAATGAACTTCATTATTATGCGATGACAACTAAAGTTAGTTTTATATTATTTCTTGGATTGAATACGTATCATACAATAGAGGGAAATGTAAAGAAAAAAAAGTAAAAAGTAGCCACGTTATTGAACCTATATGTGTGTGTGTGTGTGTGTGTGTGTGTGTGTGTGTGTGTGTGTGTGTGTGTTTCCATGAATATATAACATAAAAATAATAGTTGATGCTAATATTTCCTAAAAATGAATATAATAATTTAAAATTATTTGCAGGTAAAAATTAAAATGGTTACTTACCGAAATTATTATTTCTTATTTGTTATCTTAATAATTTTTTAATTCTTTAGTTATTAATTTATAACGTGTAATTAATTTTATACGGTGAAATTAGTTGCTTTCCTCTACTTTTGAAAATTAACATATAAGAAAAGATATTTCATTGGATGTCTACATAAGGATTTATTTAAAAAAAAAAAAATTAGCAGGAAACAAAAGAATTCGAGTACTCAGTAATATTCTTTTATTCTGTAATGTTATGTCGATTCTAAAATAATCTCGACAGACCTAAGTCAAACCTCCGCGTCGAGTATTTGTTCAACAAATAAGCGTGTCTGCGTAGTCAGTGTATTAATTCGAGCCGGGGTGGCTACAGAAGGGTCAGAACGGGTCATTACCACCGTCATGGATGCGAAACCGCGCTGTCGCGGTGCGCCGAGCGTGGTTGAAAGTGAAACCGCAGTGCAATCAGTGACGGCCATATGTCGCTCGAGCGCGCGTACTCGCGTCGCCAATCGAGGGGAAACGCGATTCGATCCTTCCGGCGTCTCCCCCGAATGTCACTCTACCACTCGAAAATACCCTGTGTCTTTCGCGCACTCCTCATTCACACCGACGAGTGTCATTCCCATGAGTCTCAGTCATTACCGCGCATTAGTTCGCTGCTGGAGAAGCACATTCTCCGTCATTTAATTTTGAATATAGAGAAAAGTACGAGTCATTCATCTTTCAATACAAAAAATAAAATGAAGACTGGACTCGGGCGAATTTGTTTCGCATCAATTATTAATTTCTCTCTAAATCTGAATCAGTGAATTAAATGTGAGAGATCTTTAACCTAGTTAATCTTTATTATGTGATCTAACCTTGTTTTAGTGCTTAAGTTCAATGAATATGGTATTGGAAAATTGAAATTAATGTGCAAATATCAGTATTTTAGTTATATAATGCTCAAACATTCTTCCTTTTTTAGTTGAACTTCACTGATTATCAGTGCCAAGTATGTCATTGGGTAATTAGTGACTATCCACTGATTCAGATTCAGAGAGTATATTAAAAGGATTTATTATTATGTTTTAAACATTAATGATTAAACGATGATCCTCTCCAGAGGATTTTATTTTACACCGATGCAAAACATCATCGAAATCAGTTTGAATCATTAACGATTCTTTTCGTACAATATTATTTATAAAAGTTTCTTTATTCAGCTACCCCCCTCTTTCTCGACATTTCTCTATTTAGCATTGTTCAGAGCACGGAGGAAACATGTAACGTTCAATCGGTGAATGACTGATGCGAATCTCACCTGCATCTGGCATCTGCAGTCGGCGGACTCGCGCCAGCGTAAGATTTTCCGTGAAATTTTGCACTCGCCACAAAATCTCTCTCTGGAGCTGCCAATAAAGCTGTTTACACACGAGAAGACTTCACGGGAGATTAATGATGAAACGCCATGAAAGTTCCCGCGCGGTTAAATGGTCGGCCGGTGTTTGATATAGAACCATTAGCGTTCCCTTTAGAACTGATGTCCGGTTCTCCGTCATTCCACGGAATCATAAAATTTTCTCCCCAGTTTGCATTGGATCATTAATGATCGCGCGCGCAATGACTATTGTCCACTTTCTTCCCATCATGGGTAAACTGGATCCCGCGTCAATGCATTTTGTAAATTTGATGGATTGATCTTTCTTCAAAAATGCACAATATCTCTTTTTCTTAAATGTTATTTTTAATTTGTTTTTATATTATATTCGTCTATTTTCTATTCTTTACGATTTTTAGCTTCGCCTAAAATTAAAAAGACAAATTATAATATACAAAATTCTCTCTATAATATATTTTTTTAATCTTAATATAAAGATCTTAAATATTAATATATTTTCCTTATCTTTATTTATCTTTCTTAATTTTATTTTTAAAATAAGATTTTTTTATTTTTCGAAAATTATATTTATAATTGACATCGATACTTTAATATAAATATTTTGAAAGAAATTATTTATTGAGTTTTCTAGTCTATTTTCTTGAAGACTGTTTTATTTTTTTAATGAAGAGTGCAGTAATTTGTATCAGTCGGTTTGAAACAGGCAACCGTAAATAATAACGAGGCAGTTGCCGATTTGAATTTTCGTGAGACCGTCCGGTGAGGAGAGTCCCGAAAAACCATTAATTTATCGTAAACGCGTCGAACGAGGATTGGTTGGTGAGTCTAACGGGGAATAGAGTCGCTGACCAGAGAAAAAGGGGGGCGCATGGGGGTTTCGTCGAAGTGCAAGGGTCCCGTTCCCGGCGAAATCCCTCTCGCAATCTTGACCCTGGATAATCGTGGGACAGGTGATCCCAAAACTGGACGACTGACCGGTAGCTTCGTCCACTAAGACGAAGGGTCAAAATCTCCCCTATGCAAATGTTCCAGCAGTCCGGTGGAGGGTTCCTCCCTTCCGGGATATCGTCTGATTTATCGCTCAATCCCAAGAGGACAGTCCGGCCGATCTACGTCTTTTCTGATTGTGACTAGAATTTTTTGCGAAATGCCGAAAATTCTCTTGCGATTCTATTCGCTATGGAAACGATATATACTTTCCTCTCGCGCGTTCAATACACTGAGAAAAATGTCTGGTTGAATTAATTGAAATTTTGATTGAAAATGGATGAATTAAAATTTTCTGGTTAAATTTACTAAAGTCTGGTTAAGATAAATGAACTTTATTTGTTTGAAATTTTTATAATTCAGTATATATTCTAGTACTACAAAAAGGATCGCAACTACATAGATGACAACTACATTGCTGCAGATTATCTTTAAGTATGCAATAGTATTTTTAGAGTTTTCTTCTTTATTTTGCAAAAAAGATCGTTTATCGCGTCAATAGCAATGCTACCATTATTTCCGGCGTTCTTTAAGAATAAGAACAATTACTATTAAAAGATCAGCGGTCGCAGCAGCTTTTAACGCCGTTCATGGGGCGTAATCAAGCGACTTTTTCATTACAGCGGTTACCGCTCTCATTGCGATTTCAGTCCTTAAATCGTCGTCTTCTACTTCCTTCCACCCCCGTTTCCCATCTCTGTCTCTCTCGGTCGGACATTCTCCGCGGAGCCGTTTCTTTGGCCGGTGATAAAACGGGACGCAATAAAGGAGGAAGCGTTATTAGGGCTACGTCCTTTTACTCGACAGACCCTAAGCCCGAGAGAATCTCCGACCGGCCTCGACAACCATCGACGACAAGGGGTTGAACCGCTGAACCTCCGGAGACAAATCCAGCGATAAAACGACTCGAGTTTCGAGCTCTGTCTCATCTTTTTCTCTTCCCCATTCGCGCGTGGTTCATAAATAAATTAATTAAGTGTGCCCAGGCAACTGATAATGTTAAAATAATACCGCGTAGGGCGCAAAGCGGTAGACGAAGTGTGGCAGGGGCGGATGAGGAACTGGAAAGTATATATATATATATAAAATATACATATATATCTATATCCAGTCGCGCAGTTCTTAAACTTGCTCCTCGTGGAGTTAATTTCGCGGCATTAACAGTCGAAAGAGTGCGAACAAAAGGGCTCGGAGGGTAGAGAAGACAGATAAGGGATGGAAGGAGGCAAACGCAGGAAATATGAACACACTCATAATACAGGCGCCGCCTCCACCGCCAACACCGTCGACGTCGTCGTCGTTGTCGTCGTGACGATCACGAGATCAGTGATTCTCTCTCTCGCAGCTAAAATCCGCAACTATATAAATATTTCTTTGACGAGCTCTCTCTTGGTTCCTTTCGACCTTACGAAAATCAATGACAAAAGATTAACGACATTTCCTAGTCGATACGAGCATTCAAGAGACACGTAGACCAGCCGGTTTTAACCCCTTCATATATCCCAGTCAAGACGAGTCCCGTCGAGTGACATTTAAACATAACACGACAAACGTTTATCCAAACGAGATATGAGCGTTTTTGTCATGTAAATTTAAAGATCGATTTTAACGTCTCTGAAGTTTGTCGCAATCTCATGATAATTGTTACTGTAATAATTAACTCGTATTTCACCAAAATAATATTAAAGAGATATTATAAATGTTATAATATTTAAAATAAAGATGTATATAATATATAAATAAATCTTTTTAACAAAATTTGCATTTTAATTCTACATCCATTCGGTAGTTGTCAAGACCGGAAATTCTCTCAGACTTGGAGTTTTATACGTAGAAATGTAATAAGTTTATAATTTATTATTTATTATTGTCTTACATACATTTAGCATTAGTAGATTATCTTGCATACAACAAACTAAATCACTTGATAATACTTTGAATGACATTAAATACGAAGAGGAAAACTGTGAACGCGCGAATCGATAAAGTTGCTAATATATGACTGCATAGTGTATAAGTATCACGCGAGTGAGAACCACGTTCGGAAAAAAAGTCAGAGCTACCTTGTGTACGCGGAGCAAACAAGCCTGAGTTCGGTAATAAACCTATCAAAGACGTACGGCAAGATTACACGACCACCGGATGCAGGGACGGGTAATATCTGCGTTCTTTGCGGTTAGAGTTGAAAGATTGGAAAAATATCCAGAGTGCCGTTTGCGTTTAGCTTGCGACTCAAACGAGCAACTCCCTCAGTACTTAATTAATATCACGAGATAAATATTTGTTCAGCGGAACACGCCGCATTTTCTCTGCGATCGATTCGAAATGTGACGAGACCTTTAAAACTCTAAAATAATATTTAATACGCAACGTGTGTTAAAAATATCCATTAGAAAATATCTAAGTATTTCTAAGTATAATTAATCGAGTTGTTTAGCAACAATCTAAATAATGCGATAATTTTTGATTAGCTAATAATAAATCAGTTTTAAAGCTTCACATGTATATAATAAAACTTCTTTTTTTTTTATTAAAAATCGTAAAATGAAAAATATCGTTCTTTTGCTTATATTCGTGATTTTACATGTACACTGAGAGAAAAATGTATTAAATTTTAATAAAGAATTGTTTGAACTAATATAATTTATTTACGGGAAAGAAGTATTTGCTAAATAAAAAATAATAATAGTTAAATTAAATTAATGGTTTTTAGATCAAATAAATATGTTTAATAAATATTCAGATCAAATAAATACATTTAATAAATATTCAACTATTACTATTAAAATTTAGTACATTTTTTTCTTAGTGTATATATTTTCTGTAAATCCAAATTTGCTCGTGATTTGATTATTTAAATTAAACTATATATTTTATTTATAATAATAAAATAAGAGAGGAAATGCATAACGATATGTACGAGAGAATTTTTCTTTTGACTATGAACGAAAAGAGATTGTATGCAGCGTCAAGCGTGACATTTTATCTTGAAAACGCCAAATCAATTGACGAGTCGGTGTGCGTTAATAACATGACTGAAAGAGTGGAAAATGATTGTCGTGAACGATGATCTAAGAAGTATCGCGACGGTGATAAAGGTGGAGGAGACGGACAACAGAGATAGCAGAGTCGAGGGGGTAACTTTGGAGGGAAAGGAGGAGGCGAAGGGCCTCGTGCGTTTTCGATGTACAAAAAGTAATTACGGGATGGTTTCCGGTAATCATATCTAGAGCGCATTGAATGAGCGCATTGTTCGGGCACCCCTTCACCGATATGCACTTGTACGCAGCGCGTCCACCCCTGCCTTTCCTCTCGTCTCCTCCTGCCTCAATCTACCGCTAGGACTTCCACCCTACTAACGTACTCGCGACGACCATCGCACACACGTATTCCTATAACTATTACGCACGCTCGCTCACCCCTAACGATGGTTGCGGGGGCTGCGGTTACACCGCAGGTCGTTCTTGGATTCACCACGGGATGCCCCCGCCACCGGCGGTGGTGGTTAATGCCTCGGGTGATTTGAGACTTTTTAGATGCTCCCCACGTCGTTGTCGTATCTGAGATATTATAAAGACGGGTACATATGATACGGGTAAATCGCTCGCGGTCACGAAAGTATAGAAAATTAAATTATTATTCGAGAGAAAGTTAACCTGATAGACATATATATGTTTAACCGATAAACTTTGATTTTTAGATTTTTAGTTTCTTGATAGCTTGATAGTCTATCAAATTTATTTTAGTTTATTTGCCTTCTTGTAATAATTTAAAGTATTAATCGAAAATCTTTAAAATGAAGCAAGGAAAATCATGACAGTTGTTCTAAAATTAATATTCTTCAATTCTTAGTTATTAAACTTTTTATTTTTCTTAACATTTTTTTATATTTTGTTTTATTGTATATTTTGTTGTATATTTTGTTTTATTGTATGTTTTTTAATTCACAGATCTCAGTTAAAATAAATGAAACTTGAAACTTTTTTTTATAGCAAAACTTAATTTAATCATTTGTAACAACTTTTTTTTTTTAAAGTAAAATATGTACTATACATATACAGTATAATTAGATGCAGTTTGATTCACATATATATTTTTACCAAATTATTGAAGACAAAAATGTAAATTCTCTTTTAAAATATACAAGATTTTATTTATTGTTCAATATAAAGAATCTAACAAATACATAAAAACATTAAGAATCTTAGGAACAGAAACCGTTTTAAATTCTTTATATGTATCTTTCCAATACATGAATGTTGTTCTCTAATCGAAATGGATCCCACGACATCGATAGAAGTGATAAACATCGCGTTGACGTCGTCAGGTGGAACAGATCGCGCGAAATTCGATGCGGTCGCGTCGGGT